TGTTCCATACTCGAAGGACATCACAATTGGTAAAAAAAAACCTGCGCAGTATTTTGATTGAACTTCTGAACACAGTTCTACCGCTTTTTGTAATTATTTGTTAAAAGCTGCTTATGGTATCCACTGTGTAAATAAATTAATGCCTTAGTGTATGTAAAAGAAAATGTACCCAAACAAGCAATTATTATACAATCGCTTCAGCTGTATCTGAACAGAAAAATCTATGGATTAATGAATTGATTGGAAAAGTCGTTCTGATTTGTCAATGCCTAACATGGTATTTTCACATTGTAACAAAAAACACTTTGATGTATCTCATAGTTTGAAAGATATCGGTTTTATCACGTTGATCAAATTCGATATCTAATTGGCAAAATGTAATAAATGTTGTCTAGAAACAACGAAGATAATATATTTTTTCTCGGAAATATTTACTAGGGAGACACGCTGTGCTTTCTCTGAAACATTTACTACGAACCACGTACTCTTTCTGAAATATCTACAACAAAGACACCGTGTGTTCTCCCCAAAATGTGCAATACAAAGACACGATATATTCTATGTGAAATATTTATCATGAAGAGTCGCCATGTTTTCTGTCCACGGACACTTTGTAAACGACGCTTTATCCCATTGGCTGCCAAAAGATCACACCTAGATTACAAAGCAAACGCCAAGCTTATGCTTTAAACCATCGCAGACATAAAGATTAGAGCGATAGGAAAATAATGAAACGGCAAATAAAAAACTCGTTAAACTGTGTTGATAAAAGGACACCAGCTATCAGTAAACTTAGAAAGAGAATACTGGAGCTTTCGTTTTACATGTATAATCTGCTAGCAATACGTCTAGAAACAAACAAGGCAATTGCAGTGGCGACAAAACCAAAAGACATCTGAGCAAATGACAAAACAACATGGAAGCGCTAAGCACCAATATCAGAGTGAACGCCACGAGATATCTTTATATTATAGACACATGGGCAATACTGTCTAGCTAATTTTTAACACTTTAGGTGAACAAAAAAGCTTTGAACGTATATTTACGGCTTAAAAGTGATTGTTTCTCCTCTGAAAACACAGGTTTGCAACAGTGCAGGGAAATGTTATGTTGTAGTTAAAAATCCTCTCTCAATACATCGACGTAAGAGGTGGATGAGTGTGGTATAAATAGCACAGTGTCAGCTATAAAAGACGAAACAGTCAAGAAAATACGGCTATAAATTAAACGCCAGAGACACAGAGCAGTAAAAAAAAAGGTAAAAATATCCAGAAAAAAATGGAACAACGAAATCGCATCCAAACAGAACACCACAAAGCAGGCTGGATTCCCCAAGGACTGTATCCCATTTCTAAAAGGAAAGGTCTTTCGAAATTGCCTATCACGTTTTTCGGTCACACAGGATGCTAACAGTAAGGGATAGTGAATTCGTTGAAACCATCAGCAACGTTTATTTCGTGAAAACAGAAAATGTTCAGCGTTTTCGGAAAAGGTTAAATTCTCTTGGGAGTTTGTAACGAGACATAAAATCGAGAAGGGAAGTGTTAACTGTTTTAATGTATCAGAAACGGAGGCCGTGCTTTATCCCTCAACACGTAATGTAACCTGTTTATAGCTGTTGACAATTGCTTTTTCTGTTTTTTATAACCTGATATTTAATAGTTGATGCTGCTGATGTTTACTAGATCTGAGGTGGTTTTAAAACTAGGTCAGTTGTGATTTGTGAACCTGATTATAAAAGACAATGCAGGGCTAGATTTAGAATTTAGACTTTTTAATGCGTTTTGACAGAATCGTGTTTTTTCGAGGGGTTGTATGTAAGTGAATAAATTGTTTTCAATCCCAAGAGACTAAATCGAATCAGATTTGATTAAAAATAACACTATTAGCTAGCGCAAGACATCGTCACTAGACACCAACCTGCACAATATACACAACTTTGAAATTGAGATTTTAAAATCAATCGGAAACATTTTAAATTAGACAGAGGACTTTGGTCTATGATAACAATTAGTCTACGGAAGTGTTAACGTTTTGGAAAAGGATATAAACAACCCGTAGACAATAATTTTGCCTGGTTTCGTATTTCATCGCACGATTGCCTTATTTATTAAACATTTTGAAAGTTCAAGACATTATTTATTTGATATTGGCTGTTATATCAGGGTGCAGTTCATTTACTATACGAGCCTTGTTATTATTAGTGACGTCCTTTCATTATCATTTGGTTCTTAATTTGAGTAACATGACTTTAAATCCATGAGAAAAACAATCTAGGTAAACCTGTGCGTATCATTAACTACGTTATTTGTATTTCAAAGTCATAAAATTCAATTGAAATCTATTTAAAATATGCTACGTTTTCAATTGTTTTTTTCAGTCATTCACGATATTAAAAAACCCACGTCGTTTGAGTCGTGAAACTGTTCATTATCAAAATGCTCAAAAATAAAAAAGTTTTTTTCAACCTAAAAATGTCTTCCCGGGTAATATATCGTTTAAAATTAAAACGCGAACAACACACGATTCTTTCTCTTACTATATATGAAACGCAAAAGAAAGCTCCAGGAGTGTGGACTTGTAGTAGAGTGGAACAGGTTTGTCTCCGTTTGTCTGATTATTTATTTAATATCGGCATCGACTTACTAAATATTTGAAAAGGTGCTTCATTTCCCAGTATTCTAAGTGTTTAGTATTTATCTACTTAAATCAGTTTCCGTATCGGTAGCACTGCTTGACTCCGTCAAGTAATCACATCTCTACGATCTCATTACATTTGTATATATCGATTTCAAATATTTACTTCCATACAAACAGAATACAAAACTATGTAAAGGTGAATAAGTGCAGGTTTGTATATTGCTTTACACCTGTGCAACATTTAAAGGACTTACCAGCATAAAGATTATTTTCGGAAAATTAAGGAAATATAAAACAAAATATTTATCCGTCTGCATAAGTAAGAATACCGTTACTGTTTTAAAAACACAAATCGCTATTTTCAGTTATAAACAAAACGTTCTCTTTTCTCAAACAAACAATGGCTACCAAAGCGCTTTCCAAACACCTTTGATTAACGGGCGGTTAACAGTACCAAAATGTGCCGTATATAATGGATACAAGTTTAGTTATGGAGGTAGTCGGTTATCATTTGGCCATGATGAAAACAAAAAGTGTTTCGATATAGAGATGAAAAGTACAAATTCTATTTGTATATACTAAAAACATTCAGACAGCTGTGAATTTGCAGAATTCGTCTGATTGTTCCTTAACAGCGAGTAAATATTATTTAACTGACAATCGTTCTGCAAAAATACATGCATGTGATTATTTCACAATGTATAACAATATTTAGATTTTCTGTTTCTACCACATTGCAGAGTTATCTTTCCATATTTTACACAGATGAATAATAAATGCTTTCTCTATGTTCGAAACTATTCTGTCTAGTTTTCTCATTAGAAGCTGTAACTTATACATGCACAATAATATGCACGCTCCAATGATAAAAGATAGTAACCTATTATTCGAATTAATTACATGAAATACAAGGAAAGGCCAATTTAAAAAGTAGTATGTCAATGCAGAAAGTCTCACAAAGTAAACTTTGTGCACAGATATATACCATTATGCTTTCGATATTGGCTACTAGTAATAAGGATATATGCTACTTTACACATAACGTAAGTGTTTAGCCTTATAATCGCATTAAAAATCAAAATTGGCATCACACTCTTAAGTTACTTCATAATCTGAATAATACAGTACTTGCTTGGTATTTTAAGTGATGAATACAAACATACATTTAATAAACCAAAGTGTCTGGACAAAATGTATCCAACTGTTGTTATATTTGATGTTTAATAAGTTTTAAATATTACTTTCCATTGCAAATGAGCCTTCATGAATATCAAATACTTGTCTATTAGCTTGTCTTGTTTATTGCTATCAGCTAAGGTATGAACTATTAGTTTGCATTATCTGTGACTTAAGGTAATTAACCTTTTAATTCAATATTAGCGTCCTGACGTATTTACAACCTCAAACAAGCGCCTGGCGATGTTACGTTTCAATATCTTCCGCGTTAACAAAAATTATGGAAAACTATTTTCAGTAATTTATAATTGCCAGGGCGTCAGTGGCATAGCGGGATCTCTGTAACCGTCGCTCGAGGACGCCCACTAAAACAGAGCACCTCAACCACGTGTACATGCCACCCAAGAACGCCCATATGATGCAGAAGATATATCAAATACTGATAGAACATTATGTTTAAATTGAACGAAAGGCCCAAAGGGCCTGTGCATATAGCAGATGGGTATTTAGGAAAGAATGACATAATTGATATAAATATACTGTACACACATAGTATTTACTATTACAATAAGAACCTTATGAAGACACAAAGACTTAATAATGATTTTTATTATTCTGTGCAGAGGTATGTGTTGTGTGCATTTATCGATATTTTTGTTCGATTGATAATACAATTTTATTCGGCATTTCAAGTCAATTAATAATATAAATAGTGATTAATCTATTCTAAAAAGGTCTTGACGGGTTTTTACAAGATGTCTAGTGATATTTTATCTTGCTAGTACAGACGTAATTCTTAAATGATACTAAAGCATTTCAACATAGCTCTCTAATAAAGATCCACAGCAAGCAAAGTAATAAAGAACTTTTTAAAGCCAGCGATAAAACCATGTTTAAATTAACATTGAATAGACTAACATTAATTATCTTTTGGAACTACTGCAGTACTGTAAAATTACCATGTCTCCTCTCTATTTCGTTTCTTCCATAAGTATACGGCAGGTCACACCAACATGTTTTTGCATGAACACTGATCATATCTTGTTGCATATATACCGTGTGATGTATATTTGTTGATTGACCTTCATCTTATACATGAACAAACTAGCTAGAATTTAAAGAGAATGTTTCTTCAGAAGAAATGAGGATTAGACCTCCCTAATGTGTCAGGAATGCTTACTTACCTTTGAGCATTTTGTCATACTGTGATCTGTGATCCGAGATGGTAAGGTCCAGCAGAGCTATAGGGACGGACATGTTTTGGTGTTGAAGAGAGGTATTTACTATCTCTAGCCAGGGTGGCATTACTCCACGTGCCGGTACCACACCTGCAAAAGGAGGGTAAAATAGGAATAAAAACGTTTCACATCATCAATGCACAAGTACAAAATCAGAAACCAGAGTCAGTTCAAAGTTGCAAAACCAATAATGGAGGAGCCAAACTCAAAAACAATAAATTAACGCAAACCAAGAACAAATTGATGATTTTCAAGGAAATATTTGAAAGAGTTCAACAAGAAAAAGAGTGAGTGTATCAAAAGGGTAAACATACATGTATTTCTACTTCAATGACGACACCAGCCATGTTAACTTAGCCAAATCAAATAAATGTCACGTCCTAAAATTGAGAATAAGTGAAGTGAGAACCAACTCACAAGAGTTACTAGTCTGACATTCATATCGTGTAGGGAAATATAATATTTCCCACTAAGATCATGATGGAGGTCATCCAACATGCCTGTAGTCTTCACAAACCTATATTTCCTAAATAATTTGTTTTATTTTAGTCCGTATCATCTATTACTGAAAGCATGGTATTCTGAGCAAGCCCATAGATACCGAATCTACTATGACATGTTTACGCCGTAGGTGGGAAACTTCTAAGCTGAAATATAGTTATTTGCCAAAAAATAGTGACAAGAAGATGGCACTAGCAGCATCAACGCCCTCTCCTGATGAGAGTAGGGATATTACTACAAAAAAAATGACAACTATCGGGAAATTGAAATCATCACACTGATAACGTATCACACGGTCTAGTTGTAAGCTGTCCTTGCTAGTCCTGTGTATGTTAAGATTGAGGTAAACTGGTTATGTAGAAGAGTCTTTGGTGTCCTTTGATTCCAGTTTGGGAAGTGATATATAAATGACCTACGTGGTCGATACATTTCTAGACGATATATCTGAAGAAAGAAAAATAAAATAAATGTTTAATATTCGTTCCAATACGCCTTTTGGTCCCTCAGCTCCATAGAAAAAATTGTCATTTGTTATGCCAACAGTCTGTTTAAAGATCTTGCCACCAAGATATTGTCAATCAGGAATCCAATCATTCTCTCGATTTCATCCTCATTATACATGTTTTTTTCTATCATAGTCCCATCGTGTTTTTCCACAAAACATGCCCTAATGGATCACGACCATATATTATTTTCGCTGTTTACTTTTTCCAGAAAAACGACAATTCGTCGATTTAATCGCCTTAGCGTGTTTAAGGTGAAAAATGGAAATTCGTTATAGTAGTTTATCACAGTGAAACTCATTAGGGGAGGAAATCATTACATAGCATATACCAATATGCATTACATAGCATATAAATGCATTATTTAATAATATGTGTAACATGCGGTTTAAACATTGTTTTCCCTATATACCTTTGAATATATTTGCATTTGATGAGATCACTTTCAAAGAGTGATTCCATTTTCAACTATATATTGTCTATATAGCCATCTACTTTGCAATTGAATTAGCATTTGTGTGGTGTTAAACTCTCCTTTCAGAGAGAGATTTATACCTTGATATACATTCCTGGTTTAGAACAGTCCCCCGAGGTCAAATCTCCATACAAAAAGGCTACTTTATCGTTTTAAATCCGACAGCATCGTTTGTGCTATACAATTGCGTATGTAAATACAAATTAGTAGTGACGTAAGTGGCCTTGGCACATGCTGTTTGAAAAATACTATCCAATACATATAATGTGTTTAAATCCGTATCTTTTCCCTATGCGTTCAACTGGCAAACGATTACAAAGCTAAACGTTATGAAAGTAATTACGCGTCCAGCTACTTGATGGCTGGTATGGTAAAATAGGATTTGCTGCACAACGTTGTTAGTACGCAATGAGACATTTGAAATTAAAACCGAAATATTTACAGATAACGTTTCATTAATTGGCGAAATACAATTTAGTCTTGTCTCTGCTCTAGTGTAGAATATCATAGCCAAAATATCATTACAGCTGTAATAGAGTAGCGAGAAGGGGCATTATATTGTGTTGGTATGAAAGGAACCTAACGGAATTCCAAATTGAGTTGGGTTCCGACTAATGGGGTTTGGAATTCAAGCATGCCCATTAGAGGTAAATCTTTTTGATTAGATCCAAGTAACATTTCAAATAAGAATTCGTTGCAACTGTCGTGGAAAGGTCACTTTGTCAATGTTAAGGTCGGGCATGTGTTACATGTACATGTAATACAGTTGTACTGGCGGATGTTTACGCTCTTATCAAACATTGTGTAAATGAACTCGATTGATTCCGTTCAAAATATCTGGTGCAACAAATAGCCCGGCGTTCTATAAAAATGGAAATGAACGATTTCGAAAACACATGTGTCGGGGGTGATAAAAAGGGCGATGCTTTTGATTACGTTTATCATAGTGCTTTGTTGTTTTCTTGTCAAAACACCAGTTCTCGCTTTCATGACGTCATTTGGATAGGGCCTTAAGGACTAGAGGCGTTCATTTACGGCCTCATCGGGGATTTATAATTAGTTGTAATATTCGTAATCTTGAAGTAATGAAGTACACAAACATGAAATGTCAAATTCATTCGACAATTGGTTTAGGAGATATGGCATATCGAGGGGAGACATAAACCCGCATTTTCATGATAAAACGCGGGGATATGGTCTGTTGTGCGCTATTTGGTTGAAACTTGACAATTTTAAAGGAAATTAACTAAACACTCTTAAATTTTTGAAAGCCTCCGCATGCAACAAACAAATACATATTGAACATGCTTAAACATTGTTATACTAATGTTCACTCGTAGAAAGGAGTTTTTGATTGTCACATGTGGAGGCTTTTATTTCTGCATGGCAGCTGTTCAAAAACACCATATTTTGGCTATATGGTAGTGCATCTACGCATGCGCATTGGAATAAATCTGCACCAAGCAAGATAGCCCCAATTAACCAATATGATGTCTTTACTGTTGTTTTTGCCCATAACGCCCTAAGTCCTTTATATAGCGGTTGTCGTCGATTAAACAGAACACGCTTACTCCTCAGAAACACTTGGTATGATTACCCTTGTAATTTTTCAAAGGTCAATATGCAATCTTTTCTATGTTCATATTCTGTCCAAAGTGGGTTTTTGTTTTAGTTTGAATATCGATTCTGTTGACAATCCGGTATTTTTCCCCTTACAATTATACGAAGCTAAGAACAGATTTTTCGCGATACGTGACTGTTGAGTTTTGAGTGGGATCATCAGCTAAGGACTTACCAGGGTGATTCTAATTCTATTTATATAATTTGTAAAGTAAACACAGCATTGTGATGAGTTATAATGTGAAGAACGTGTTTAGTATCTACAAGAAAGATGACTAGAATGTCAGTTGTATTTCAACACTTTCAATGACTAACCATCATTGTATCCAATGATTTCCATTTGGAGGACAGTTTTCCATGATTCTTTGGGATTTCAAAACTGTTTAGAATACATTAAAAGAAAATTTGTCCCTGAAAAAAGACATTTCCTTAATAACTTGATACAAACTATCACTTTTGACGTTTTCAACATCAAAGAAGACATGCATTAACACTTTCTCGGTAAATCAAACCAGTTCAACCGATTGTCGACAATTTTAAGGAAATAAATTTGATGCACACAAAATACATACTGAAAAATTGACTTTAAGTGCCGTTCATCTTTTGCAATGGTGACGCAGTAATGCCCATCACGATAAATTTACGACTCAATGTCAGTTTTATAATTTGAATGTACATTGTTCGCGTGTAATAAGTAGTTAAAATTCAACACAATCACATTCATTTGTGTGGTGTCGGATAATGGGGTGAACTGGAGCGATTTATAGAACAGGTGTTTATGTTCCTTTGTAAAAAGTATAGCTTTTCAATGTCCAAACGTCGCGAGACGTCACAAAATGTAATAATAAACACTAATCAGGAATCTAGTAGATGTTAATGTTTATATATTGTTATTATAAGTACAGCTGTAGCTACTGAAGAGGTGAAGGATATTGCGTTATACGTCTCTTGCTATGATGTTTGACTGTAGAAACACACCGTCGTAATCATAACCATGACAGTCGACCGTTACCCCAATCATGAAAACGGCGACAAAAGTGAAAGTCTTATGGAACCATGCCATGTTTCGAGCGGTATTTGAAGAAAACAAACTGTATTTATGTTTGGTATGGTTAGATGTTTATCTTCAATGTCACATCAATGAAAACATAATTAAACGAAACGAAATACTGTCGACGTGTAAACCGTTGCACATAACACTCGGACGCACTTTACATTAGTACGTCATTGAACCGAACAATTTGCAACAATGTATCTTTAGTACTGTATGAATACTCTAAGGAGCTCCAGTCTTCTTTAAGAGGATACATATATTATAAGAAATGCATCAATTTCACATAAAAAGTAAAGAAACCGAAACATAATAAAACAAAAAAAGGAGAAAACAATTGGAATACTCAGTATAGGACTGGTATTATTTCTTTACAATCTATTTCCCTTTAAACGGCGTTTTCCTACAATGATAGATACACAGACAGTCGCGAAACGGTTTTCTCGCCTTCGTTGCAAAAAGAGAAAAACAAACAGCAGGATCAGACTAGTCTGTAAATGACGTCTATGGTTCATTTACAATACATTTCACTTAACACGGTGCTGCGGTACAGTAAACAGTAATAGTCATCGCCCGACAATATTGTCGCGAAATACAATTTTTGTGTTCGCCTGCATCGCCACGAAGCTCGTCTCATGAAATCTGAGCCTGTAAAAGTTACATGTACAATTGTATATACGAACGTGTTCGAAAGGTCGGGTGTGATAACACTCAGCACTGTGTATCGATTAAGATATATTTCGACGGTTGTTGAGATCGATGACAAAAAACATGTATGTATCTATGAAGCAAGGTGACATCAGTGCTTTGTGTATATTATTATTTAAAGAGGCTTGTGTATTGATCATGGCTATGTTTGGGAAACTGAAGCCAACACATACCAATGCCTGTGTTTCAGGTATCTTGCTAAAAACTTGATAACTGTATGAACAGTTTTAAT